TCTAATTACTAATGTCCCAGATGCAAGAAGATGACAGAATGCTCTAGAGATGAGTCACTGACAGTCAGGATGAGGTTACTGGAGGGATCCAACCTTAGCTGGCCATCCCTTTCCTGGGCTGGAAAACATTCAGTCCTGATATGACCTGCTGCTCTTGGCTTCAAACTCTCCTTCAGGCTCTGAGCTGAAAGTTAGGAGATGAGTCACATGAGTCGGTCGAACCATGGAAGAGTCTATGAGAACTGGCAACAGGCCAAGCAGACTGACCTCAGGAGCCCCTTCGTACCACAACAGTTTGCAAGATCTCTCCACAGAGCCATCTTCAATTCTAGCTACAAATTTAAGGATATTTAAATGTCTTGGAGGGAATCTTCAGAAATTCTTGTTCAAATATTCACTTTACAATATTTTTTTCCTATAAAAAGCCATCCTGCACCTGTAGACAGCAAGAATGTATGTACGAACTGGGACTGTATTCGTATCAGACATCACAAGTTAAAGAGAGCACAGTTTCTTAGCTGGTTAGACAAAAGCATACCTCATTAAAATTATTCCTCCAACAAGAAATCATTAATTTTGGTTTCTTGATAGAAACTACGTTTGTAATGAAGCACAACAATTTTGCAAAATCAATTTTGTCAAAATCCAGTTTTCACTTAAAAAACATCGTGATAGGGGAGACTGACCAATGTATTTCATTCCATCCTGAAATATTTCCATATAACCTGATAGAGGACCACTTGAATACCACACACAAGCAATGGAGCAGGGCAGTTTCTATAGAGAAAATCAACACAGAAACTACAGCCTTTGAACGACAGCAGAACATTGCAGTTGAAAGGATAAGATACAGCCTAGGGTACATGACGTATAGTTAGGATCTTCCTAACCAGCTGTGATAATTAGATAACATTAGATTATCTCTCCTAACTTAAGTGTCTGAAGTTAGACATCTACAATGAAGTTGGTCATCTTAGACTGCCTTCACAGAGACTGTGGAGAAAGAGGCATCTCCAGAGATGTTATCTACTTCCATTTTCCGTTTGGACTAGTTCAAAGAAGTTGCTATTGGACGTGCCTCTTTCTCTCTTGTCTCAGAAAGCAGCCAGAGTTGTCTAGCTCAGCATTACACAGCCAACTTTTAGATATGTAAAGGTAGTGGAAGAAATCCTAGTCTGCACTGTGTTTTGTTGGCTGGATTCCAGTCCAAGTAGCAGCTCTTTGACCACCCTTTCCCTTTGCAATAACAGATATTCTCCACCTTCTCTCCTTAGCTAGATTTTTTTTAGCATTGTTGCATATTAAAGCACTGCTGTACTCCAAGTCCCACGCTGGCTACGTTTTACTCTTGGATGCTACCCAAATAGTTTGTAGAGCGCTCTGAATTCCCTCAAGATGAAACAGGTTACACGAATCTTGAGTTACTGTGCTGTGGAGGAAGGACAGTGGAACTGACTCATCACGTTGATGCTCGCAAGGATGTTATTGCAAACGGCCCAAGCAGTTGTTTTGTCCACGCTCCTCGCTAAGTTTAACCTTAGGCTGATGTCGTCATCCTAAGATGGAGCATTGCAGCCACCAGAGTACCGTTAGGAGAGAGCAGTAAGCATTGACTGGTGGATTTTTAAGAAATCAGCTGCCTGATTTGTGTTCAATTTCAGTGGCTTTGAGCAGCAAAAGTTCTTTAAACCCCAGTAAGGTGGGTAGTCCTTGAGGACTAGGATTTGAACGTCATCCCAAGATTCCCATCTTTAACTGTAAGTCCTAAATATTTTGTTTTTTCATTTAAAGCATCAGGTCTTAGTGTCTTGTTATGAACAATTTGTGGTCTTTGTTAATGAAAACTTTAGTTCTTACATTATGCAAAGGCTCACATAGGCTCAGAAATGTGGTTTATACTTCAAAAGGCTCAGTGGACATATTGCAGAGAAAAAGAAAATCATCTTCTAAAAATAGCTCAGTGAAAAGATTTTGCTTTCTCGCATTCTCCTGTCATACTGAGGGGCAGTTCTCTGTTAATAAAAAATGATCGAAAGCAAAAATAGATAGAAGTATCTGTGCACTGTCTCATGCTGCAGACCAGGCATGTGAAGTGAGAAAAGAATTCTGTGCTCAAAAGAGGGAAGAAAAATGTTGAGGTTAATACTCTTGCAAGTTTGATTCTGTAGTCAGAGACACCCACCCACCTACCCTTTATGCTCTTTGGAGAGCTGGTCACACATACATTAATACTGGCTGAAATCACTGATTTTATTAAGCACATCAGTAATGTTACTTCCTCAGTAAAGGGAAAATAAAGAATAAGACTGGTGTTAGAGAAATAGTTTCTATAGCAACTGAAGTTGTTTAAAAATTTGCTAATTCTTTGCTGTGAGATGTTAGCAGATGTTCTGGATAGTGTGTCATCTCCCTCTTAGCCATGCTTTCCGTACACATTCAAACAACGGATTAGAGGATCGTCTGTTAGAAAACTGATTTTCACAGTTGCTTTTTGTATTATTTGGGCAAATTGCTTGGATATCCACAGTGTTCGTCTTAACTTCCGAGACTTTACAGAGAAAAAGGGACTTGAGAATCTGCATCTTTTGCTTTTCAGAGTGTTGTTCAGCATTTCAGAAGAAATTTTGATACTGGATGTCTCTTTGAGAGCTGCCAGAATCTGCAAAAGAATTTGTCCTGTTCAATGGGAGCAGTTGTCCAGTCCTTTTTCTAGGGCTTTTTTCTCTTTGAAGTACAGCAAGCTGGAATTTCCCTACCTGAGCATCTAGATCCTGCTGAAAAAAGCCTGGTGATCCCCTAGAAAATCCATGCCTAAACCTCCATATCCAGAGTGAGAGTTGTGGTGCAGCTACAACATGGATATTGCACAGAGTTCTTTTGTTGCTCCTTTCAGCACAGTAAACAAGACATGAAGTTGCTGCCTTTCCAGCCAGTATGACCAGTGATGCTTGCATCTGCCTACCTAGAGGGAGCTCACCCAACTCTGACAGCAAAATTGACAGCAACATTTAACCCCTCTGCACTGTATTGCTACAGGAGAGATGGGGAGACCAGATATGGTGGGGACTGGGCATGGTAGTCCATCTCTGATAGTACCCAGGTAGTAGAAAGGTACCTAGGCTGCACATGAGATAAATGGAAGATGCCCTCAGTCATTGGATTCCACATTAACTGGGAAGAAAACCACTTGCGGTGGCATGTCCTCCCTTGCAGATGTGCCACATCCATGCCCAACATCACCAAAGGAGAAGCTGAAGAGAGCTGAAAGGTGCCCAGGAGAAAGGAAACAGCACCATGTTCTGGCATGAAGCTGTGCTGTACACAGTCAGGGATCTCTGCACACACGGCTCTCTAAGGTGGACATGCCCCGTCCTGCTGCTCTTTGGTCACAGGAGCAGTGACACTTCCCTCTGGGGATGACACTGCATTGCAGACCCCCATAGAAAAGTTTCCACAGCTTCTGTGTGCCTGATTCAACAAAGACTCCCAAGCACCTAATTTTTAATTGAAGTTTTTTCAAATATTAGTATTATTTTGCAAATATTAAGCTTAGTAGGATATTGGGACACTTAACTGGAGCGAGGCATTGAGTTGAATCTGAGCTTTTTGTATCTAAAAGAGTCGTACACGGCCCTAAAATCATTGTGGTCCTTTTCTAAAAGAAGGCACAGAGAATGTGAAGTAAGTGTAAGAGCCAACTCTTTTCCCTTTTTGAGACCAGAGGGTTTATGAAGCAAAAGTTTCTCATGATAGCAAACAAAGGAGCACAATGCACGTGCTTATCGCTGTCTCCTTGCTGACAGACATACTTGAAGTGGAAAATAATAATAATAAAAAATTCAAGGCCCTTCCAGCAGAGCCTGACTGCCCACGCCGCGAGTGCTGTGAAAGAGCTTTTCACAACAGGAGCCACGGTTCTCAAATGGAGCATGTTTTAGCCAGTATCAACTTCTACTTTAAAGCAGGGATGTCCCCTTCCTCGGATTTCAGTGGCAAAGGAGGAAAGTCTGAATGGGAGGTATGTAAGGTGATGCCACCTCTGCACTGCTTACAGTCCCAGAGAGACTGGGGTCTCCAACACAGTGCAGCTATTCAGAGCCCTTTCACCTGCTTGCAGGCCAGAGGTTGCTAATAGTTGCATTACTCATTCCCAAAGCTTCTCCCACTGCCCCATCACATTTACGTGAGAGAAAAGAGTACTTGTGGCCCTTTTAGGTTCTATTAGCAAAGCTTTAATGCAGCCTAGAGTGATACAAAGTGCTGAAAGTGCATAGATATGGAGCAGTCTGAATATTTCCCAATTATTAGAAACTGCACACTTGCCCTGATATCACTGGATAATTATGGAAAGTTGGCAATTATTTCCTGCCATTTGACTCTACGGGTCACTAGCTGTCATTGCATGCTGGGTTCCAGCAAAGCAACTCAGTGGAGAGAAACATGTTTCCAAAACACAAAAACGTGACTATGAAATCACACCGTGAAGCACTCGGTCCATGGGATCCTACAAGCAGGTTTTTTCTCATCTCTTGGTCACCTCCAGTTGAAGTGGGCACTCGGTGGTGTCCCTTTAACCAGTGTTCCCTTTGCAGTCCAGTTTGCTGTATTGCAACGTGGCAATATCTATTGCAAAAGAGCATCTCCTTCACTTTGGGAAGCTCACTGGGAAATATGCCAATGAAAATTTGTCACACCAATAGTCCAAAGATGCATATATGTGTGTATATGTATACATATATAGGTATACATATTAAGAAGTCCTTTGCATCCCTTGAATAGACAGACTATAAATACAATTTATTCCTGGGGACTCCACATTTCTGAGTGTACGGATCTTGGGAAGGGTGTGATCCTGTTTGCTCTTACTGTGATGCATTTCTCTTACGATACATTTATGTCTGTGCTGAAGTCTTTAACTACATTGTCCTGGTAAAAGCTGTATATATTATCCTACGTTGGAAATATTTTTATCCAATTTTTAATTACCCTTTAACTCGCAGGTATGGCATGAATTGTCTAATCCAGTTTGAAGACTTTGCCAATGCCAACGCTTTTCGTCTCCTCGATAAATACCGCAACAGATACTGTACATTCAATGATGATATTCAGGGTAAGTACTACCAGGAAAATACAAATTTAACCTTCACCTTCTCAGGAGGAAAGGTGATTAAGATCACAAGACTGTTTATTCCACAATACTCAGATGTGTGATAAGTTTTAGAGTTTACACATAAGCGTTCAAAGATATAAACAAAAGCACAGCAGTCTAAGCTGAAAAGTGAGTCTCCGTTGTTTTTAGTAATCTAGCTGTTCATCACAGCAGTGTCATTCAAGGGAGGAAATGTGCTTGAGATTATTAAGGTGATTTAGAGAGTTCCATTAATTTGCTATAATTTAGCAAAAACAATGATGATGTTTTACGTTATGCAAGGCTTTCAGTTTCCATGTGGTCATTAGCTGATCTTGGCATTGTCCCTCTATTGTTATGCTCCTTATTACATGCACAAACAAAAAGGTAAACCAGCTTTTTTCCTCTCCGTGGATGCTAAGTCCAGGAGAATCTGAGAACAGATATGTTCTCCCCTAGACCGATTAACATAACTCTTGCAGCGCCAGAGAGAAATGACAGCAGCAAAGCTGGGGCTCTAACCAGCACGTCTCCCAGGCCCTGTGAGGCTCAGCAGTCAGCAGAATTGCTCATATGCACAGAAGAACTCAGGCTCTGTATTGATGGCATCTTGGTCTGGTACTGACATTGCTTTAAACCATTGGGAGGGCTGTTGGCCCATCCAACAGAGACAGGATCTTCCCAAGTGATTACAAATAACCAGTTCTTCTCTGAGTCCCATCATCTTTTCTTCTTTTGTCTAGTCCTGCTTGCAACATGCAGAAATTTCCAAGGTTTGTTGATTTAATTATTTGCAGTCAGTTGGGCTTATCCTCACTTGTACTTGAAAGAGACTGAAAGAAGTGCCAGTGTCATTTTTCACCCAATGATGACTCTTTTGTGAGCAGACTTTCCAGCCCCATTTCTGCATCTGCAATATTTGGCAGTGTGTGTAACAGCTTGTTCATATCTGTCATGGCACAAATCTTGTCTGGCACAAGAGGGAGTAAGACCCTGGCATGTAGGAATATGTATGGTGTGACAGGATGCATGGTCCTGCTCAAGGACACTTGCATGAAGAGGGTTCAGAAGTAGAGGAGCTTAAGGCATTTCAGATAAGGGGAGATAGATACTCCTCTACAAGAAGACTCATCAGGTGTTCTTGCCACCCATAAAATCTTTCCGTGGAGAGAGGAGCACAGAAAAAGGAGATGCACTTTTGAATGGAAGTCTTGAATGGAGGAATCAAGAACTCAGACTTTTCAGGAGATGGACAGATGAAGCCCATAATAAGAAGCCGATGATGTAAAGATTTCTTTTGGATTAGTTGCTTTCGCTGCAAGTGGAAGGGGACTCAGCAGTTGAAAGGAAAAGAGGCCAAGCGATGCAGCAGATCTGTGGGCCTGGATGTAGGTTTTCTTGAGGGAACTAGAGTGAATTTGAAAGGTTTCTTGGTGAATTGGGACAGTTTCTTAGAGAGAGAGAAGAGAAAGAAGATGTTAAAGCAAAACTGAAGATTCTGAGTGGGAAGCAGGAGACTATTTTATAGTATCTTATTGACTATAGGTCATAGCTACATGCCTCAGACAGTTCCTGAAAATGACCCTCTCGGAGGGGCTGACCACATCTAGGAGGATGCTGTAAAACAGCATTGCCATAAAATGGACTTTGTCTGCTTCTCCCCAGTTAGATGGCTGTCATGCTGCATGGGAGATGTCGAGTCCCCTGAAAATTCCCCAGAGTCCCATCTGTTAAAACAATAAGATCTGACCTCTTACAAAACTCCCTTATATTCTCAAGTAAAGCATCTAGCTGACACTGGTTTCACAGTAGTAGGTAAGGAAAGAAATCCTGTTGATCTTTTGCACAGACAAGAGCTGAGTCAAGGGAAGCAAGACACTTTATCAGGCTTTTTTTATGTAGCTGTCAGAAAGAAAAAGAGATTCCAAGCCAGGGTTGTAATCAAGGAATGAATTTTGGGGACCTTTGGGAAGTTGATGTAACTTGGATCTGCTCAGCTGAGTCTGTCTTAGAGTCATGTCAGAGATTAATGGCATCGAAGCTGGGATGAGTAGTCTGATTTACCTACCCTAATATATCCCTCTGTATCCCCAGGTGATATGAGAAAGGTAGGAAGTGCCATTTTCTCACTGATACTCTCCTGTTCTTTGGTTTTGCCTCAGGTTCTCTCTTTTCTAATGTTCTGGTGTTTCATGACTTGCCTACTTGAAAAAATGGGAGAGTTCAATGCAAATTGTGTTTTAAATGATTAGTGAGAATTATACAAAGCCTCATTTAAGCAGTCCTGATTCACTTCACTGAAGTCAGGCAGGAGCAGATCTCCTGAAGCCTGAATAATCCCAGCTTCTGAGCCAGCATTGTTCTAAGCGTATTGATTTAAAAGCACATCTCCAGCACAAACAGGGCGAGTTAGATCAGGCCTGAGCTACACAAATTTAAACTCCTTGCCCGTCGGTAGCGGGATCTGAATGCAATGTGCCAGCACACACACACAGACGAGATGTGGGCAGGAACTATAAATTGTTCCACCTCATCTCCCTTTGGCCTCCCTCTTGCCACCCCAGGGCCTGCACAAGCAGAAAGCAGTTTAAAATATTAACACCTACTTTTTTTATGTCACACAAATTACTATATTGCCAAATCCATCCCAACCCTGCAGAATCAAAGTGACTCAGACCCCTTCCGGTTGGAGCCAGCCTGCTGCTGCCGAGTGGGACGCCTGCCAGGTGCCACAAGCCGGGAGGAGGTGATTGCTCTTATTCTGAAAGCCATCAGCCTGGGAGCTCGCAGGAGCTGGCAGTGCCCGCACGCGCGTGGGAGCTCCCCGGTCAGGGAGTGCTTCTCCTTCCTCTGTGAGGGTGATGACATCAGTCCTTTCCCAGCTCTGTCTGGGTTCATGCAAGGGGCAGCAGCTCCCATTTCAGCTCTACAGGAGAAAATTGATTGTCACTTCTTCCCTTTTCCCAGTAAAGGACCAGGGCAGGCGATGAAGCACATAACAGAATTGGAGGGACATGAGAATGCTTTACATCCTGCTCTTTCTCTTCCTGCTGTAACTTTGCTCCACTTCATTGTGCACAGTGATAAACAGAAAGTAGACAACTTAAAAGTCTCACAAAGGTGTCAAGTCTTAGGAATCCCTGAGACAGGCATCTCTGGCTTCCTTCTCCAGACAAGAAAATATATAAAATCATTGAAGAGGATAGTTTGGAAGGGACCTCTGGACATCACTCAGCCCTCACTCAAATAAAAAGTGATTTCAAACTTAGATCTGACTTTGACATTAGATCAGGTTCCTCAGACCTTGCCCAGCCAGATAATTTTCGATATCTACAAGGGTGGATACTCACTATCTCTTTGTGCTGCCTGTTGCAAAGTTTTTTCATTTTCCTTGTGCATTTTTTCCCCCTAATATCTAATTGAAATTTCCCTAGATGGGACTTGTATTCATTGCCCCTCATCCTTGTGTTGTGCACCTCTGAGAAGAATCTGGCTTCTTAACAAACACTTAGTAAATAATAGGAGACAGAAATTAGACACCCTCTTAGTCTTCTCCAGACTATTCAAACCCAGATCTCTCAGTCCTCTTTGTACACCCTGGTCATATCTACGGCCATCCTCTGGACTTGCTCCAGTTTGTCAATATATTCCTTGTGCTCAGAGCCCCGAACTGGAGGTGCTAGTCTAGAGATGACCTCAAAAGTGCTGAAGTAGAAAGAAATTATCACTTTCCTTGACCTATTGCCGAGACTTCTGTGGACGCAGTCCAGCAGGCTGTTGGCCTTCAGTGCCACAAGGGCATATTTCTGGCTCATCTTCAACTTGTTGACCACTAGTGCCCCCAAGTCCTCTTCTGCAAAGCTGCTTTTCAGCCATCAGCCCATACTACCATGTGCTGTTGGATGAGGTTATGTCTTCTTCCCACATGCAGGACTTTGCATTTGCCTGTGCTGACCTTCATGTGGTTTCCTTGAGCCCATTTCTCCAGCCTGCTGAAATCCCTGTGAGTGACAGTCATTGATCACTATCCCAAATTTGTAATCATCCCTGAACTTGCTGGGGGTGCACTCTGTGTTATCATCCAGGTTGTTAATAGAACATAAATAGTACTGTTCTCTTTGTACCACTTTTACCACTGATCACAAGCCTTTGAGCCTAGCAGCCCTGCCACTTTTTCACCCACCTGCTAGTCCACTTGTTCAGTCTGGATCTCTCCAGTTTGGCTACAAGGATGCTTTGGGAGATTATTTCAAAGGCTTCATGCAGGTCAAAGAAAACAACACCCACTGCCCTCTCCTTGTCTGCATAGTCTATTGTCTCATCATAGAAGGCAGCCAGGTTGCTCAGGCATGATTTGCCTTAGGAGATCCATACTGTTCTCAATCACCTTCATGTCCCTAGGCGTGCCTTCCAGGAATCATAGAATCATAGAATGGCATAGGCTGGAAGGGACCTCAGAGATCATCTAATCCAACCTCCCTGTCATGGGCAGGGATGCCTCTCAACTAGATCAGGCTACTCAAGGCTCCGTCCAACCTGGCCTTGAACACCTCCAGGGAGGGGGCATCCACAACTTCTCTGGGCAATTTATTCCAAAGTTTTACCACCCTCATACTGAAGAATTTCTTCCTAAGATCTAATCTAAATCTGTTCTCCTTCGACTTAAACCCATTTCCCCTTGTCCTATCAGTGGACACTCTTGTCAAAAGTCCCTCCCCAGCCTTCCTGTAAGTTCCCTTCAGGTATTGGAAGGCAGCTGTTAGGTCCCCCTGAAGTCTTCTCTTTTCAGTGCTGAACAATCCCAGCTCCCACAACCTGTCCTCGTAGCAGAGGTGCTCCAGCCCCTGGATCATCTTTGTGGCCCTCCTCTGAACACGCTCCAACAGATCTATGTCTCTCTTATGGTGGCGACACCAGAACTGGATGCAGTATTCGAGGTGGGGTCTCACAAGAGCAGAGTAGAGGGGGAGAATCACCTCTCT